GGGGGGGGGGGTGCTGAAGGCGCCGGGTGCCTTCCCAGCCCTGCCCACTGCGCTGCTTCTGGACGAGAGGCGTCTGTAAGCCAGTGGTGTCAGTTCTAGATCTGCCTCCTGCTCACTCTCTTCCGGGGTTCCTGAGCCCTAAACTTCCACTTGAAAATGAACTCTCTTGTTTCGTGCCCTTCTTTCCCAAGAAGCTGAGGGCTGAGGGCTGCCCATGTGCCTCCCAGTCCCTTCTTCTGCCCAGGGTTTTGGTTGGAGTTGGTGGTTCTAGCAAATCTCTATTTTGGTGCTTTAAAAAAAAATCCAGTATCAAGACTATGTTACTTTTCTTGAGGCTCAGCCTATTATTAGTTAATCTATACTTGGACCCTTCCAATTCTAAACTGGGTTAGACAAGATAATAAAAGTGGCCAGAGAGCTACAGGTAAGAGAAAAGCAGGCTGAAATTTCAACGTAAATACAGCAAATGCATTTTTTAAATGCCATATTACACTAAGTATTAAAATTTGGAACTTGTAGTGCAAAGAACGGCAGAGACTAATGCAAGAAAAATTTAGATTTTATGATTTTCAAGCTTTTTTGACTATGACCTAAGAAATACATATTACATTATAACTGTATACATATTTCTATACAAATAAACAAATGTATTATAATAGAATACCCTTATTACATGTTATACATTCTGATATCTTCTTTGCTACTTTGTTTTTTAAAGATGCTGGTCACAGTGTGAAAAGCACTGATTTAGAAAACCGATCGTTCCTAAGAGTTCTCTGTGCACAGCACACTTCCAAACACTAGCGTTTTAGGCCATGTATTAGGAAGGATTAATGAATTTATCAGTGATCATTGTAACACAGTCGCGAATGTAGTTTAAGTGTCCTACAGCATCAATGAAAGCTTCTCCTACTTGCTGCTCTATTTCCTAGCTTGCTGCTTAGCACCAGGCAGCTCCTTGAAGGACCTGGTATTGCCCTATTTTCTTATAAGGCATGGTCCTCACATGTTGGAGAAGCAGCCGCTGGCTCTTTGGTGTAGGCTGGACCACGTGACCCTCTAACTTGAGTGCCGGGTCCCATTCCACCCCTTGTCGTGCAACTTGGATGCTAGTGATCCATGTACTTTATAATGAACATAAAAACCCAGTGTGTTTTACATTCAACAATAATAACCTGCACACACTGATCGCCAGCTGCTGGCTCTCCTGAGAGAAGCTCATGGTGGACTAGTGTGCTAGGGCACACCACTTAAAACTTCAAGGTTAACACACTGCTAATGAGTTTATAAGAAGTGATGGTAATACATCAGGAAGTCTTAGACAACATTCTTTTTAAACCGCTTTTCAAAAAGACTGTCAACATCCCGGCATCCCAACCTTGTTCTGGACAATTACTTTATTTTTTTTCCCCCCGTCAGCCATCAAGAAAAAGTTGGGTAACTTACATTACATTATGAATTGCCTTGCCATTATTTCTAAAAACAGTGCTCACGCTTCAACATGAGACTGTTGTCTAACAACTCACCCTGTTTTCAAAATGGCCTGTTTTTTAAAGCTATCTTTGTAAAAGAATTTAAATTCAAATACACTCTCGACCACAGATGCACTTCACTTGCTGCCGCCCAAATGGCCAGAGAGAGAAGTAAGAGTCTGAGGCCCCTTCTCCCGCGCTGCGGAGAGAAGCCGGGAAGCAGCCCAGCCCTCGTGGCTCCTAAGGAGGGATGGCGATCACTTGAGAAGCCCTGACACCGCGCTGGAGACGTGGCTTCTGATGGGCTGTGTTTCCTTGTGTTATCCATGTCACAGGCCCTTCCTCGGGTGGGGCGGGTAAGGGGATGCTGTGTAATGGGACAGCAGGAAAACACAGGGCTAGATGTTTATTTTCTGATGGAAAGTCCTGGCTTTCCTACACTATGACCTTAGGCAAGTCGCTTAACCCTCTTAGACCTACTTTCCTTTTCTGTCACCTAGCCGATGACCTCAGAGAGATCGTGTGAGGATAGAGCGGACAAGGTACCACTAACGAGAGTCAGTCCACAAGCATCTATCCAGAATCTTCTTTGCATGAGGCCGTACCCTTTCCTAAAGAGGCTCAGCTGGAGCGGCGAGCTGAGACAAAACAACTGTGCAGGAGAAGTCACACAGCCATGATTAATTGCTAAACAAGTACAGATTTTCCATGATCAGACAGGGGGCTTGGAAAGCTCTGTGAGAAGGGCCTGCGAGGACAGGCAGCCTCTGGCTGGGCAGATGAGGGACACACATGACCGGTGCAGAGGCTGGGGAGGCCACGCAGAGGCCCAGCGTGGCTCTAAGGGAAGGCCGGGTGTGCGGAGTAACAGGCCCCCCGCCACGTAGTGCCTGCCGTGTGCGCTGCCCTGCGGAGAAGCTGGCCACGCTCATGCGCCCCCCTAAGCCGCCCCTGTGCCCCATGGTCCCACCATCCTCGTTAGTTATGGTTGATTTCCCCAGACTTACGTGCCAAAGGAAGCCACAGATCGCCTGCGGTGGAGGCAGCGGCCACCTGAGGCGCAGGAGCCCTACGGCCCAGAGAGTGACTCTCGCACCCAGTCACATCTTCTCCCCCAGTGGGAGGCGGAAAGGTGTGCCCACAGCGGGGGCGCTGCAGTCGCACACACCGATACTGCAAAAGCAGCCTCAAGGTGGTTGAAGCCACGACCAAGCAGGAGCCTGGAGGGAGCAGGGGGCAGCAGGACTTTTCCCATCTGCGCAGAGCAGAGCAG